AGAGAGGCAGAGAGGGAGAGAGGGAGAGAGGGAGAGAGGGAGAGACGGAGAGAGGGAGAGACGGAGAGAGGGAGAGACGGAGAGAGGGAGAGAGGGAGAGAGGGAGAGAGGGAGAGAGGGAGAGAGGGAGAGAGGGAGAGAGGGAGAGAGGGAGAGAGGGAGAGAGCGGGAGAGAGCGAGAAAGGCAGAGAGGCATGGAGGCAGAGAGGGAGGAGGGAGAGAGGGAGAGAGGAAACAGAGGGAGAGAGGGAGAGCTTCGCGGAGATCAGAAGCGCCGCGCGCCCGGTCCCAGCACGAAGATGGCTGCCGTCGACGGGCATTTCTCAGCAGCGCTTTGGGTGTAATTGCAGAGGTGTGAATGCTGCATTTTGGCAGGTGTGGAAGTGAGGCGTACGTAGGTGTGATGCAGATCAACCAGCCGGCAGCAAAGTCGTCGCTCTGGACAACAAGCACAGTTACAGGGCACTTGGAAGAGCATCTGTGATTAGTTCTTGCTGACGCACGGCTGCCAAGACGTACAGACGTGTCAAAGAGTAGTGGTGCAACTGGCACTCGAGGGGAGAAGGAGCGTCAGAAGGTAGAAAATGATTCTTTCCTGGCTCAGCGCCGTGATGGGCAGGCTTGCTAGGTTTTCTTCATTGATGCATTTTCGAGGTCGCTTCGTGGCCATCATTTTCGGAGCCAAGGTAAAAATCTAGGAAAATCTAGCCCCGAGCACCGTTTGCTGGTCGGCTAGAGAAAACTAGAAAAAGCTAGAAAAAACTAGACTTTTCATTCGCTGAATTGCTGATATTTCCTGGCCATCAAGACTGTGGTTTCGGGTTTAAGGGGTTGGGGCTCACTACCTTGTCATGGGTTAGGATGTTGCTGCCGAACAGGGTTCAGGGATGTCTGTAATTTGGATAGCTGAAGTTTTAGTTTTCAGGTTCAGGGCTAGTGTACTGTTAGAGGTGTTTAGGGTTTAGTGCGTCAGTTGTTTTCAAGACTTTTCGGGTTCAGGGTTTAGCGTGTTTCGGATTGGACACCCCGACATCGCACTCGGAACGGTTGTTGATCAAGGCTTTTCGGGTTCAGGTCTTATTGTGTTTGGGATTGGACACCCCCCCAAGTGGCTTTTCGGGCTGAGCAAAAACTAGACTTTTCCGAGCCTCGGGGCCCCGTGTTTCCATACAACCTATGCCTCAATCTAAACGGAGCGCTGAACTTTTCTTTCACCACGTCCAATCCCATGCTCTCGAAGGTGTTTTCTTGAGCCGGGCTAAGCCTTTCCATGCCAAGGCTGGCAAAAAACTAGACTTTTCCGAGTAAAAGCTAAACTTTTCCGGGCAAATGCCAGACTTTTCCGGGTAAAAGCTAGACTTTTCCGGGTAAATGCTAGATTTTTCCAGGATTTCGGCCGGGCCTCGGGGCCCCTTGTTTCCATGCAACAACTGCCTTCATCTAACCGGAACAGCCCCACATACAAGGATGACCTACGTGCATCATGCCATATGGGCCCCATGGGCCCCAAGAACCTGACCTCAGATCCTGCCAGTCAGTAGGCAGGCTTCTCTTGCCTGGACACTCTTTTTGCAAGGACGGTATGGGCACAAAAGGTGACATTACCATTCACGCCCTTCTGATTCTTTTTGATTTCCAGGGCCCAAGTATTTTGGTTGTAGGGTTTGGGTTCGGGGTTTGGGGTCAGGAATTGGGCTCATCTCCTACTTAGTGTCCACAGAGTTAAAGGTTTCCAGAGACAGAGTCGCCAATCACCAAGAACAAATCTTAGACATATTCTGAAAATTGAGCGAAGGAAAACTTTAGAACCTTTGGTTGCTAAGCAAAGGAAACATACTGGAAAAATCTAGCGCCTTTCTTCGTGTTCCGGCTTCGAAGAAGACGGTCTGGAAGCAGATACTAAAGCGTTTCTAAGATTTCTGCAGCAAAACCTGTGAGATCCGCAGCCTGACAGTGTCAGACACACGAAGTATCTTTTAGCGTAGTGGTTCGTGCAGGCCAACACATGTTCTCCTTCTTGTGCCACCATCCCAAAACTCTGCGATTGGCGACTGCAGCAGAAGCCCTTGCCCATGGGAGATTGGTTGGCTGTGCTTTGCAGGAGATCGAGGAGAAAGTTGCGCTCAAGAAGATCGAGGGTGTTTTCGAGCACATCACGATCGCCAAGGCGTAGCAGCTGTCAGATGCACTTCGTAGCTTGCAGGCACATGCGAGATGTGGAATGTCAGCTTAAGGCTTATGGCTTAAGGGACCTACGAAGTCCAGTCCAGTCCCCGTCTGAGCTTCCATGTTTTCTGTGGCTTCATGTTGACCCACGGCCCAGCGCACGCTCCGGGAGCCCCGGATCCTGTGACATCTACAACACGAGAACATCATGCAGGCCACGTGATGCATGGGGGCTTTCGGAATTCGGTTGTGCTTGCCGACTCTACGGGCACTGTTGGAAAGTTGTCACTTCCGGGTAGAAATGTTATCATGAGTATCTCTGCAATACGTCGTTCAATTCTTTCTACGACTTTTAGTTGTAATATGGCATTTGCTTCGTCTGTTTGCCTTTGGCCTAATCTCCAAACAAACATGGAGGCTGCTTGCAACTCGTCACTCTCGCAGGTCAAGAACATTTCTATGGTGGGCTCCAGACATACCCTCCAGGAAAGGAGTGCACCGAATGTTGACGACTGCTGACATATTCAGGCCGAGCCACTAAGCTTGTTTTGTCAGGAGCTCTATGTTGTTTCGGAACTCGCGGAGACCGACTTGGCTTCTACCTTTAGGTGCGGAGCTCATCTGTCATCCGGCACAGCCTTACATATTCCTGCCTTTGGGCCTTGCAACCTGTGTCTCCCAAAGTCAGCGTTGCTCAGGTCTTCTCAGATGCTGACAGACGATCACTATCAGCAAGGGTCTCAACTTGCAGTCCAAAGATGCACTGGATGGCGACGAGCCTGCTGCGTGTCGGTCCTGCAATCCTCCATGGCATGAAGTACGTGCACTCAGCTCAGGCTGGCATTGGGAACTCATTCTACCTTTGGGGTCCATCCACCCTGTTTAGTATCAAACGTGAGAAAAGTGCCAGCTCCACTGTAATATCACTATGCCCTTTGAACAGATGTGTTGCCACGACAACCTGTTCGATACTTGCTATCATGAATCCCCTTTGCATCCCGCGCAGGTCATTCACCGGGACTTGAAACCAAGAAACCTGCTGGTGAATAGCAACGCCCGGCCTCAAGGCCTGCCATTGGCTCTTGGTGTAATCTTCTTTAGATCTATAGCTGGCTCCTGCCTCGCAGGTATATTGCCATGTATTTCACTACGGATCTGCGACTTTGGCTTGGCCCGAGTGCGCTTCTCCGACAAGGAGTGGGTCTGTCCCTCGGATCCTCGGTACGTTCGGGCATGCCTTAGCCATTTGGTTACTTTAAGCGCAAAATATTTTCAGCCCACTGGCTCGCGACTCCGGCCTCGCAGGGGAGCTCCTGCTTTTTAATGCGATGAGAGGTTCATCGAATAGTTTTGGAGTGGCAGTGTTGAGCCATGTGTGACGGAATCATCACGTCAAGGTCATGCTTGCTGTACCTGACACAGCCCAGAGCGAGACCGTAGCTTCGCCTCGTTCGCCTTCGGCAGCCTTCAGGGCTTCACTCGCTTCGCTCGCTTCACTCGACCGCTGCCGCGTGGCGGGGAGCTGAGAATGCCAGCGGCTGGCATGTGTTGCCATTGTTGTTGTTGTGCTGGTGTGTCTTAGGCAGGAGTCTGAGAGGCGATAGAGTTATGCCCAGAGTCAGGATGCTGGACGAAGCTAACTAGTGGTGAACGCCGAAGCAAGAAGCAGCGACATGTCAAAGTGTGAGGAGGAGGGCTGCGGAGTGTTGATGTTAGCAAAGCCCTTGCGAGTTTGCATTGATCATTGAAATAAGGGAGGCTAGCCATGTGATTTCAGACCGAGGTGCCTCTTGTCCCTGCGACAGTGCGCCAAGCTGCGGCAGAGGATGTATTCTTCGAGGCTGCCTCCCATTCGAAAGGTGCAGTGTTTCAACCCTCCAAGCGGTTTGTGCCGGATCCTGGAAGAAGCTCGGTCCGAAAACGAAAAGCAGCAAGCATCTTCAAGCTATCTCAGGCCGGCAGCTTGATCTCACGGTATCTTGCGGGTCTTGCGGGTCTTATGTTCCTGGATGTCGTTTTCAGAAGGACACAGGTTCCCTTCCGAGATCCTATGAGACCTCCAAGTTGGTACTTTCCAAACAGCTCCCGATAGGTTCATGCGGAGGAGCCGATAGAGACGGTCCATCTGACGGGAGGACACTCGTGCTCCGTGCTCGGGGCCTGCCCTTCCCCTGCCGCAGCTTCACGTCGTCGCAGCTTGTCACATGGGACGCACAGAAAGTGCAGGAAGGCTTGATTGTGCACAGCTACCTGCCTGCAGCTCACTGTCGAAAAAATGTCTAAAACCATCAGGCCCCAGTACATCGTGTGGGTGCCCTGAACAACCCGCACAACCTCCTGAGCTCCCCCTAACCCCCCAAATGTGCGCCGCCCGATCTGCACAGAGCTCGCAGCAGGAGCCTCATCTGCAGAACCCTTTCTCTGGAAATCCCAGCTCTTCTTCGCGCAGCTCCGCGCGCCGCTTGGGCTTTTTTTTTGGTTGGGAGGGGGGGGGGGGCTTAGGCTCGCCGGTGATCGCTTGTGACACAAAATAGACACAGCGAAGACTCAATCAACGGCAACTTTCGCTAAAAAAGGGCGCTTCAAGGGGCACTCCTTCAGGTGGGAGGAGAGGCCATGGGCAGAGGGAGCCGAAGCAGTTCACTTTTCTTTGGTATCAGTGATGACGGTGAAGAAGTAACACCGGGATTTCGCCGATGCTTTAAAGTTGACATGGAAGGGTAGTTACCGGCCTCAGGGAAGCCAAGCTGCCAAGGCGCCCGCCACCACTGCTCGTAGCTGTACGACTTGGACAGATTCTTGGCTTCCTCTCCTTCCGCAGTTTCAGTTTTTTTGCAGGCCACGGTAGTTTCGGAGGCAGAATGACACCGAGAGGTTCGGATCTACAGTGCAGGCGTATGTCCAGTGGCTTCAATCCAATCTGTACACAGGTTGCCATGCTGCTGCTAGCTTATGGTTCCTGTTCGGGATCCGACTAGAATTGAGAGCCTTCTATGTACATACTTATACATAAATGGATAGATGAATCTATGTATCGGCTACGCGACAAGAACCTGGTTGCACAAAACCCTGGAGCCTACGCAGTGACTGGGCAAGGTGTTGACCTGTCTGGGCAAGGTGTTGACCCAGTGGTCCTCGATCCTTTCCTCCACCACCTCCCTCAGTCCTGGCCATTGTGTTGCACGAAACCCTGGAGCCTGCGTGGTGTCTGGGCAAGGTGTTGACCCAGTGGTCCTCGATCCTTTCCTCCACTACCTCCCTCAGTCCTGGCCATTGTGTTGCACGAAACCCTGGAGCCTGCGTGGTGTCTGGGCAAGGTGTTGACCCAGTGGTCCTCGATCCTTTCCACCACCTCCCTCAGTCCTGGCCATTGTGTTGCACGAAACCCTGGAGCCTGCGTGGTGTCTGGGCAAGGTGTTGACCCAGTGGTCCTCGATCCTTTCCTCCACCACCTCCCTCAGTCCTGGCCATTGTGTTGCGCGAAACCCTGGAGCCGCGTGGTGTCTGGGCAAGGTGTTGACCCAGTGTTCCTCGATCCTTTCCTCCACCACCTTCCTCAGTCCTGGCCATTGTGTTGCACGAAACCCTGGAGCCTGCGTGGTGTCTGGGCAAGGTGTTGACCCAGTGGTCCTCGATCCTTTCCTCCACCACGTGTTGCACGAAACCCTGGAGCCTGCGTGGTGTCTGGGCAAGGTGTTGACCCAGTGGTCCTCGATCCTTTCCACCACCTCCCTCAGTCCTGGCCATTGTGTTGCACGAAACCCTGGAGCCTGCGTGGTGTCTGGGCAAGGTGTTGACCCAGTGGTCCTCGATCCTTTCCTCCACTACCTCCCTCAGTCCTGGTCATTGTGTTGCACGAAACCCTGGAGCCTGCGTGGTGTCTGGGCAAGGTGTTGACCCAGTGGTCCTCGATCCTTTCCTCCACCACCTCCCTCAGTCCTGGCCATTGTGTTGCACGAAACCCTGGAGCCTGCGTAGTGTCTGGGCAAGGTGTTGACCCAGTGGTCCTCGATCCTTTCCTCCACCACGTGTTGCACGAAACCCTGGAGCCTGCATGGTGTCTGGGCAAGGTGTTGACCCAGTGGTCCTCGATCCTTTCCTCCACCACCTCCCTCAGTCCTGGCCATTGTGTTGCACGAAACCCTGGAGCCTGCGTGGTGTCTGGGCAAGGTGTTGACCCAGTGGTCCTCGATCCTTTCCTCCACCACGTGTTGCAAGGTGTTGACCCAGTGGTCCTCGATCCTTTCCTTCACCACCTCATTGTGTTGCACGAAACCCTGGAGCCTGCGTGGTGTCTGGGCAAGGTGTTGACCCAGTGGTCCTCGATCCTTTCCACCACCTCCCTCAATCCTGGCCATTGTGTTGCACGAAACCCTGGAGCCTGCGTGGTGTCTGGGCAAGGTGTTGACCCAGTGGTCCTCGATCCTTTCCACCACCTCCCTCAGTCCTGGCCATTGTGTTGCACGAAACCCTGGAGCCTGCGTGGTGTCTGGGCAAGGTGTTGACCCAGTGGTCCTCGATCCTTTCCTCCACCACCTCCCTCAGTCCTGGCCATTGTGTTGCGCGAAACCCTGGAGCCGCGTGGTGTCTGGGCAAGGTGTTGACCCAGTGTTCCTCGATCCTTTCCTCCACCACCTTCCTCAGTCCTGGCCATTGTGTTGCACGAAACCCTGGAGCCTGCGTGGTGTCTGGGCAAGGTGTTGACCCAGTGGTCCTCGATCCTTTCCACCACCTCCCTCAATCCTGGCCATTGTGTTGCACGAAACCCTGGAGCCTGCGTGGTGTCTGGGCAAGGTGTTGACCCAGTGGTCCTCGATCCTTTCCACCACCTCCCTCAGTCCTGGCCATTGTGTTGCACGAAACCCTGGAGCCTGCGTGGTGTCTGGGCAAGGTGTTGACCCAGTGGTCCTCGATCCTTTCCTCCACCACCTCCCTCAGTCCTGGCCATTGTGTTGCGCGAAACCCTGGAGCCGCGTGGTGTCTGGGCAAGGTGTTGACCCAGTGTTCCTCGATCCTTTCCTCCACCACCTTCCTCAGTCCTGGCCATTGTGTTGCACGAAACCCTGGAGCCTGCGTGGTGTCTGGGCAAGGTGTTGACCCAGTGGTCCTCGATCCTTTCCTCCACCACGTGTTGCACGAAACCCTGGAGCCTGCGTGGTGTCTGGGCAAGGTGTTGACCCAGTGGTCCTCGATCCTTTCCACCACCTCCCTCAGTCCTGGCCATTGTGTTGCACGAAACCCTGGAGCCTGCGTGGTGTCTGGGCAAGGTGTTGACCCAGTGGTCCTCGATCCTTTCCTCCACCACCTCCCTCAGTCCTGACCATTGTGTTGCACGAAACCCTGGAGCCTGCGTGGTGTCTGGGCAAGGTGTTGACCCAGTGGTCCTCGATCCTTTCCACCACCTCCGTGTTGCACGAAACCCTGGAGCCTGACCAACATGGTTTCTTACGCAGCGCTGGCTCGTGCCCAGCTTTGGCCAAGGATCGTGGCTGTGCAGCATCTTGCGCAATGCCCCTGGCAGCCCTGTCATCTGCTGGGATTCAGCGAGAGCCCCAGTCAGTCCCTGAGTTCTTGCTGTGCTGCACTCTGTGCTAACCCCCGGTACCCTTGAAGCCTCCTTCTCCTGCGAAGCTTTCGGCTGAGGCCTTGTTGTAAACTCAAGCTGGCCGCCCAATCGGTGTTGCATTACGATCATGACAGACTCCTAACAGCGATGGTGGGCCTGTGGGAGAATAAAGAGAGAGAACCAATGCCCTGTAACTCTGTCGATCAGCTTTGCACCACCAATTGGCCCTAAAACCCTTCCATACAAAACTAGCACCTGTCTGCCACGTTCAGGGTTGTTGGACATTGGAGAGTTCGTGGCGTCTACAGGGGCCACATGAAGTTCATGTGCATCTCCGAGCTGTTGATGCATCCAGTTGTGAGCTCCTAGCATCCCCGTTGAGAACTTCCACTGTTTGCACTTTTGCTTCCTTGGGGTTTTACATCGTAGGGTTTAGGGTTTAGTGTTTAGAGCCTAAACCCTAAACCCCTAAACCCCGAAACCCCTAAACCTGAAACCCTAAACCCTAAACCCTAAACCCCAAACCCTAAAGAGGGGCTTAAACGCCACTCCATGGTCCTCGCAGTTTCTTCTCAGTTTGAGGGGGCGCTGTAGTGCGAGGGCCTCGCCAAGATGCGACTCTGTGCTCCGGGGGAGCTGTGTCCACCGGCTGAGCACTACCAGCTCCGCTACATGCAGCCCTGGCTCTATGCCCACCCTTGTGGCGAGGTCCTCCGCTTAGCCCGGGAAGCGAGCACGGCGCTCTTCAAGCGAAGAACAGCTGGCGCAGCTCGAACAGCTCGGCTTCCCACTTTGATTCATGTGGGTTGCAAGGACCTCTCGAATGATCGCACCAAGCCCTTCTACGCGGCCCTGTTTGGGAATCGTAGCGATCTTAGCGATCTTTGCCTGGAGGCCGTGATGGTGGAAGCCAATCCAGACGTCGCCGCACTTCTAGAACAACGCCTCACGGAGTACTTCTCAGATTTCTCGTGTCGGAGACGGGTGCTCTCAGCAGCTGTTTGTGCGGCGGATGCTGAAGCCTCCTTCTTCTCACTTTCAGAGCAAGTGCACACAAAATACTCCGTGCAGGAGCTGGGTGGCGTCAAACGCTGGGACAGCTGGGGCACCCTGAATCTCAACTTCCTGCTGCAGAACGTGGCGGACATTCTGGCCCGCCGGAGTGACGGGAGTGACGGGCGCAGGATCCAGGTCGAGGATCTCATGCCCTTCATCCAGGAACGAACTGTCACGTGCATTTCTCCCGGCAGCTTGTTGCAGAAAGAGGGCCTGGAGCCCTCCTTTGTGGACATGCTCTTCCTGGACACCCAAGACGCCCTGCGGATGCTCTCCGCGTTCTTGGCGCTGGGCTTGCGCCCGGCCATCCTGCGATTTCACTGGGCCTGGGACCAGCGGCAGATTGCGGACCAGGGCTACGCCACCGAAGTCTCCGAGGCCGTGGCATTCCTGGCATCCGAAAGCTACCACCTCTACCAATTCGGGGAGTTCTTCGTGGCTTTGCGCACTTCGGAAACCTAGACCTGCCCAGCTAAGGCAGCTAAGGGAGGGAGGGAGAAAGCAAAGCAGCTGCCTGCTGAATGCACCATTTTCAGACGTGCCGGGCAGCTGTGCGGAGTGACTTGCAATGTTCTGGCGGACACGCAAAACCTGCATTAAGAAGCAAGAACGCCAACGGCAATCAGAGTACCTCTGTGCAGAAAAAGAGCACATGTCGATTTGAGCTGCAAGTGGCGGATGTTGACGGCTGTTGACGGCTGTTGGATTCTGAATCCCCGTCCCTGGGGTCGTGCGAAGGTTTGGGCTCCGCTCAGAAAGAGAAGGAAGAGAAGGTTAACGAGTGCTTGAACGTGTACATCCATGTACATCCAACCTTTGGGTGCTGGTGTTACAGGCATGGCTTCCAGAAAGCTGAACAGAATCAAGTAGGCCTAAGCAGGCCAGGCCAAGCAGGCTCCAGACTGCTTTTCGACCTCTGTGACGAAAGAAGGGCGGCTCAACTACTGGGCTTCGAGCCGGTGGTCTTCTGTGCCCCCCCCCCCCCCCCCCCCCCCCCGGCCCTAAACTGTCCACATTGAACCATCAACTTCCAAGAGGCTGTGATGCTGGACAACATGAGGGTGATGGTGTGCGAGGCAGGGGCCCTGGGCTCACGTCCTTTCAGTTTGCCCCCATGGCCTCGTTTTCGGGTGCGGGTGTTGGTCTTCAGGCTGTACCGTTCAGTCGCTGGCTTCGACACCAAATCTCCAGTCTCGTCGCAGTTCTGCGCCGTTCAGTCGCTGTCAAAGCCATGCTTCTCCAGTCTCGTTGTCACGTGATCCTGGAGCCTGCCGGTCTCTCTTAGGGGCTAGTACACGACAGGGGCACTTTAGCTTCTTCTAAGGCCGTCTGCGGCAGGGCTAGGGCTAATAGGGCTTCGGTCAGCTGGGGTCTATGTCTATGTCTATGTCTAAGTCTATGTCTATGTCTATGTCTACGTCTATGTCTATGTCTCCGTATGCGTTTGGCTTTCCCTTTTCTTTTGTTATTATGAGTATGTTCTCTCTTTTTTTGGGAGGGGGAGGGGTATGGGCGGGGTGGCGAGGTTCGGGAAAACGCACAGAATGGTTTCCACCCGCATTCCAGGGAATGCTCCAGCGGCAATTCCCACAGCAGCGAAAGAATCCTGTGAGATGGTATTTTGCTTATCTTGCCAAGAGGGTTCCAGAACTAGAGGCGGGGCGGGGGAAGGGGTGCACACGACATGGCGGTGAAGTACTGAAGAACCCGTGCACCTCCAGCTTGTTGCACAAACCGCCCTCTGGGCCCGACAGGGTGGTCATCGGGATTTTCGGGTCACAAAGGCGAACTTCTGACACCTTAAACGCGGAACCCTTTGCCAGCATCCTGCGTGGAAAGCAGTTCACTGTTGAAACGCTGCCTTGCACCGTGTCGTCTTTTGCATTCCAGCTGTGAAGACCTCTGATGCTTGTTGCCCCCTTTGGCCGCCTGCATCGTATTGCCGGTATTCCATTTAGCCCCAACACTCTGGAAAACGAGCTGGCTTTGGGAGCATACCCTCCACGCTTTGTAGCTGAAACTACTTCGAGATGTCTAGAGTTTTTCCCTAGCGGTGTTAATCCAGCCTGCACGAGCGAGCCTGCATCGAAAGTGTGGCAGGAGTGTTGTTTCAGGCTCTTTGTGCAGCTTTGCCCAGCTTCAAGGTTTAGCCAGGCTTTGTTATTGGGAGCAGCATGCGGTTTGCGGTGTAAGGAGCGCCATATCAAACTGGGCCTCGAGGGTTTGCATGATTCATGCAGTGAACAGAGAACAGAAGCTTGAAACATGAGTGTAGTGCGGGAGCCCTTGGTGGGGGGGGAGAAGGGGGGGCGGCAGTGGCGCAGCAGACACTGCGGTGGAATGAACTGATTTTGGTGCTGCGTGTAGTGCCGGGAGCCTTAATGGAGGGGGCGGTGCCTCCACCGTCAAACGTTGCGGTGGGGAATGGGTTGTTTTTGCTGCTGAGTGGGGGAGGGGGGGTGGGGGTGCGTCAAGCATTGCGGGGAATGAATGCTGAGGGGAGCGGGTTGCAGTTGCAGCAAACATTGCAGTGGAATGAATTGTTTTTGGCGCTGAGTGTGGCGGGGGGCCTTAGGGGCGGGCGTGTGTCAGACATGGCAGTGGCATGAGTTGAATTGTTTTTGGTGCTGAGTGTAGTGTGGGGGCCTTGGGAGGGTGCGCGTCAGACATTGCAATGGAATGATTTGTTTTTGTCGCTGAGAGTCATGTGGGCGCCGTTTGGGAAAGGTGCGCGTGTCAGACCTTGCGGTGGAATGAATGGGTTTGGTGCTGAGAGTAGTACGGGCGGCCTTGGAGGAGGGGGGGCACCAGACATTGCGGTGGAATGAATTGTCTTTTTGGTGCTGAGTGAGTGTGGGTGGCCTTGGGGGAGGGGCGCGGCAGACTCACTGCAGTGGAATGACTTGAGTGCGGTGCGGGGGGTTTGGGGGAGGGTGTGCATCAGACATTGCAGTGGAATGACTTTTTCCCCACATCACCGTGTGGGGTTCTTGTTTTTTATGCTCGCCGCCCGCCCACACCCGCCTGGGCCCGCCCACCCGCACGCGCACGCCCGCCTGCTCTTCCTGTACCTCTAGGGATCCTGCTGTTGCTTTTCTCTTTTTGTAGTACAAATGCAGTGCCTCTAGGGGAGCCTGCTGTTGCACGCGCGCGGTTTGGGGCCGCTCCCCCGTTTCCTCTTTTGCAGTACACATGCAGCACCTCTATGGGATCCTGCTGTTGTACGCGCACGGTTTAGCCACTCCCCCGTTTCCTCTTCCTGTAGTACAAACGTGCACATATTTTTACACATCTACATACATTCTTGATGTATTACATCGCAATTATTTTACGTTTTTGCTGTGAAAGATCATATTCATCGTAATGCAGTACATACAAATATACATCTTGTAATATTTTAGCTGCGAGGCAATATAGTCACATTGTATTGCATATGTATGTATACTACAATACAGAAAAAATAGAATAGAACACATCATATGCATATATATTTATATACATGTATATAGATTATGATATTTGTGTATACATATGTTAAAAAAAAACATTATATATATATATATACATATACATGCATGAACTGAGAGAAAGAGGCCGCCGGGCATCGTTAAAAAACAACCATTAAATTACGTTCGTTTGTGATTTTTGTTGATATTGTTCTCTTCGCTGTTATTATGCGGGCCGGTATATACTCTTAAGACCCGTCCATAACATTATTGATCACCCGGCTGTTGCCAAAGGCTTGAGTTCTACATCCAAGTTCTCAGGGTGTTGTGTCCCAACCTTACAGACGCTTCCTTGTTTCGTTCTTACAATATTAATATGAAGGGCGCGTGTTCGCTTCACTCTGTGCCCTTAATAACAACATTGTATTCTCTTCACTTTGTATTACTATTCGTATCACCGCGCGCACTTCGTATTCTTATTATGCACGCGGGATAGGTTCATAACAATAATAGAAATGCAAGTGAACGAATGAATTGAAATGAATTGAAATGTGATGGAATGAAACGAAATGAAATGACATGAAGTGAAGTGAAATGAAATGAAATAATGATTGAATCTGATTGAATGAATGAACGATGAATAAATGACTGAAAGAAAGAAAGAAAGAATGAAAGCTAAAGAAAGAAAGAAAGAATGAAAGAATGAAAGAATGAATGAATGAATGAACGCACGAATAAATGAATGCATGAATGGATGGATGGATGGATGGATGGATGGAAAAATGAATGGGTGAATGGGTGAATGGATGAATGGATGAATGGATGAATGGATGAATGGATGAATGGATGAACGGATGAACGGATGAACGGATGAACGGATGAACGGATGAACGGATGAACGGATGAACGGATGAACGGATGAACGGATGAACGGATGAACGGATGAACGGATGAACGGATGAACGGATGAACGGATGAACGGATGAACGGATGAACGGATGAACGGAATGGAATGAATGGAATGAATGAATGAACGAACTGGAATGATTTATTGAATGCATGCATGAAAATATGAAATTATGACTTTTGCTGCTGCGAAAGGATGTCTTTGTGTTCATGGGGGAATGGGTACGGGGACTATAGTATAGCATGTCGCTTGAAAGGTTCGCCTAGATAATTACCAACATAATGCTGAGGTCTGTTTGAGATGCTCTATACTATAGTTATACCAAGAATATGTGACCAGTATGTCCGTAATCATTCAGGTTTCTACAGTGCCTAGACTGGGTGGCTGTTAAGGAACTTAAATACCGAGACTGGGTTGCTGTTAAGGTACTCAAATTCAGTCAATATGGCTTACCCAATAAAGTAACTTGAACTAAGTTGCTTAACAGAAACCCTGTAGAATTTGCGCACGTTTAGAGTTCCAAACAATGCCTGCGCCGCCAGGATCCGGATGGCAGATGTGGGCCTTTTCGTTCGCATGGCGAAGATCCGGATCAAACCAGGCGGTCGTGGACTTTGCGTTTGGCAGCTTTCACAAGTAGCAGGTCTAGGGTTCAGCGCTTGTTACTGCAAGTAGCTTTTGGGACTAGACGCAGGTTCGAAATTGACCCTGCTGGTGCAAGAAATCTTGAATTACTCCGCATTTGTTTTCGAGGTTTAGTGTGTAGGGATTGATGCTTAATGCAGCTCCCCAGTTCTGGACAGGGAGGTTCCGTCTCCTTACCTCTTAGATGTGGCATAGCCCGGGTCCTTGGGCTATTGGATGAACTTATCTAAACGGGGAGGGGTCAGCATTTGGCTCTAAAGCCATCGCGGACCAAGTCCGAAGGGTGCACGATCAGGGCCGCTTGCAAGGACAGCCCGGGTGCCTGAGCGCTCTGGAGGCTTCGATTCTGATCGCAGAGATGACTGAGGGTTCACCATAGGGTTCACCATATTCCGCAACGTAGGATTCAGAGTTCCAGGCGAAGCGGTTGCTGGCTTCATAGGATATCGTGGCCGGGCGGCCCATAGTATCGTGATGTCTATGTGGTTTCTTGCATATCGCCAGGGACCAGGAGATGAACATGTTGCAAGATCTTCATGGGGCATTGTTCCACGTTCTAACATCCAGAATTTCGCAGAGAAATTATGGAATGACATTTGGAGCTTGTGCGTTTTACACAAAGCATGAGGTACCTGGCCAGACCATTTGTAGTTATTGCCTTCGGCCAAGCTCGAACAATACTGACAGCCGAAGCCGACAGGGGTTGAGCATGTGCGATTCGGGCCGAATTCGGCGATCAAAATCGCAGTGATCATGATGCTGGCGTGCCAAAACATCCGACGGCGTGCTGTTCGAAGTGTTTTTCCAGCTCTGCCACAAGCCCACTGGCAGTCTCAAACTTACTCGTTGAGCCTGACTCGTCCAGCGTTGTAGGACCAGCCAGCCCCTGAACTGCCAACAGCTCCTACGGCATGTTTGGATATGTTGTTCTAGGTGGGTAACAGTACTCAGTACTCCGTACAGGTATCTTTGGCCTCCAGCTTCTATGCGAAGGGTCTGTAGGCTTTGGTCGTAGTCCCTGTTTGTATTAGGCACCTTTCGGGGAT